AAGTGCCGCAAGGGCGCCGCCATTGGCCCGTCCCCAATCACTCGCCGCCCGTGGTCCGGGCGGGAAGCGCGGCGGGAACATTAGTTCCGGAGGGAAATTAGTTCCGGAGGGAAACGCGGCGCAACCTATTCCCACCCCCGTACCGGGCGGGGGTCGCCGGCGGGGGACACCCCCGAGGGTCCCGAAGGAGGTGCTGGAAATGGCCTGGATGTCCTCCCAGCCTTTGTGCTGGGCTGGTGTACTGGGTTTACGGAGATAGGTTTCATATTCCTCCCAGCAGCGGCCACCGCGCTGAGTTTGGATTCGGGATGGGCGACCTGGGGCCGTGACGTCACAAAAGCGGTGAGCGCCGGGCTGAGGCGGGGCTGTGACGTCACACAGGTGTCCCATCCACAGCACTGTGACATCAGCACCGTGTCTCTACAGGACACGTGCCACCACTCGCGGCTCCCAGTGTGGCCAAGATGGGACATGGATGAAGCCATGAGTTTCCTGCTCCCCCTGCTTGTCCTGCTGGTGGCCAGTACAGCTGTCCTGCTGGCCACCTGCATTTGGAAGGAACGGAAGCGCCTCAGGGGCCGGGCCAGGGGGTCCCGGCGCAGCCGAGCGACTCCAGAGGCTCCCGGTTCCCCCCCGGCTGAGGAGACCCCTCCCCACGGCCCGGCTGCCCCCGGGAGCCCCCTGTACATCCCCTGCGGCTGCGGCCCCGGCTGCGCCCCCTGTGCGACAGCGGCCCGGGAGCTGCAGGACCTGGTGACACCGCTGTGGCCTGGGGTGTCCTTCCCGCAGGACTCGGAGATGTGGCAGCTGTTGTGGGAGGACCTGGGGCAGCTGCTGGAGCGAGGCCACCTGCCCTGCTGCGCCTCCTCCTCCTGCTCCTGCTTCTTCAGCTCCTCTGGGAGCCTCCATCCTTCCCGGAGCCTCAGTGGCTGCTGCCAGACTCCGGATGGGGAAGACCCCGTGGACAGATCTTGCTGCTCCCCTGGAGCTGCAGGCATGAGGAGAAATTTGTCATCCTTGAGGATGCACGTGGCCAAGAAGAACCTGGAAGTAAAGCTGAGAGCCCAGCCCGTTCCAGTGAGGCGTTCCCAGGAGCAACTGGTGCAGCGGCAAGCGTCACTCCATTCCTCGGAGAGCCTCCCCTGCTCCTCGAGCCTCAGCGGGAGCTGCCAGACTGTGGACAGTGGAGAAGATGCCACGGACAGCTCTCCGTGTTCCCCGGAATCCGCGGATATCAGCGGAACCCGCTCAGTCCTGAGGATGCACATGGCCAAGAAGAGCCTGGAAGTCAAACTGGGAGCCCAGCCTGCTCCAGTGAGGAGCTCCCAGCAGCGAGTGGCACAGCAGGAAGTGTGCTGGAGCCGCAGGCGGCCGATCCACAGCTCCCACAGCACTGCAGTGCAGCCAAATAGGAGCACCCGCTGCTCGGAGTCCAAGATCCTCCAGAGGCAAAGGGAGCTGGAATTCCCCCATCTCCGGGGAGCTCCTCCAAGCCGGATGAGGCTCCTATTGGCCGCTCAGATACTTCTGAGGATGCTCTGTTTTAAATAAATCGGCATTTCCCCAAAGAACCGCGTTTGGGCTGAGATAGGGCTCCTTCCTTCCCAACAGCCGAGTTTGGATTCAGGATGGGAATACTGTGGACCACGCATGGGTGCTTTGGTTGCCCTCCTCAGGGACTTTGCAGTGTCCCATGGGCCAATCCTTGTTTCCCGCTGGGAAAGGTGGGATAAGTGTCCAGGGTCAAATCCCTGTGAGACTCTGGAAAGGAGCCCCGGGTGGGTGCAAGGGGTGAGCCCACCCCGCCCAGCTTCCCAGTGGGAGACCCGCGGACACCACCCTCCTCCCAGTGTTAAAGCCATTGTTGAGGGAGGTCCTCTCTCTTTTTCCATCCCTATCCCGATGGAGGCTCCCAGGAGAAGGTGCTTTGTGTTGCTCCTTGCAGCCCCAGCCTCCGCACAGAAGGTGCTCTGGGTGAGGGGGTTTTTGGGGGATCTGGCTGCCCTCCCTGGGGAAAGGGATGGGGTGGTGACCCCTGGGTGGGTCCCCTGGGCATGGCGGGAAGCACCATGGGGATCCCCAAATCCCTGTCCCAGCCCTGCTCGTGCCAGTCTCTGTCACCAGTGGCCGCACGTGGCTCTCGATGCCGGCCACTGTCCTGGGAAGCCGAGTGGCCGGTGGGGAGCTGGGGTCCGGCTGCGGGGTGACCAGTGCTGGCAGGGATGGACAGCCCCTGGAGCACCCCCTTCTGAGTTGCAGGACCACCCTGGAGGTGAGGAATGGGGACACCGTGTGTCCCTAAAGGAGATGGTGTAGGGTGGGAGTGAGGCGACCCCGTCATCCCCGTCCCCCGTGGGTCCCCTGCTCTGAGCTGGGTGACACTCCCAGCCCCAATTCCACTCCTTCCCACAGCTCCTCCTGGACAGCATCCAGCACCGGAATGTCCTCCACTTGGCCAGAGGGCTTGTGGAATGTTACTGCTCCAGGGAAATGGGGAGTCCCTCCCAGAGCCCCAGATTCCTCTCAGGATCCTGCGTCTCCCGTGCCCTGCGATCTCCATGAAGGGATCTCTCCATGCGGGGGGATGTGGTGTTGTCCGGATCAGGATGGGGAACAGGGGTGTCCTCCATGAATTTGGGATGCAGAGTGGTATCGTGTGCCCCCCCTCATTCCCAGGGTGTTTATTACTCCCTGACTTCAGGTTAAATCCTCTGTCTGGAGCTCTTGGCTCCTTCTCTTCGGGGCTGGACACCTTAAAAATGGGGAATGAAGACAGTTGGGGGGGGAAAAGTTTGGGGGATCAGTGTGGGGGATCCCCTCTACTCCTCCCCTCCTGCAACACGGACCAGATCCAGGATACTCAGGCCCACCCCTCCCCTCGGGAAGAAGATCTAGGTGAAATCGTGCCTGGGCAGTGCCCAGCTCCGCGTCCTGGGTGCCGCCCCCCCGCGCCCGTGCTCCCGCTCTGCGGGGAGGAGCCGCAGGAGCTTAATGGCCCTTGATGGATTTTTCTTCCAGGAATCTGCTGCGGCGTGGTTTGGTGGTTTTTGGTTTGGTTTTTTGTTGTTGTTGTTTTTTTAAAAATGTATTTATTTTTTTTCTTTCTTTCTGCGCTCCTGTAAACACGGCGTGGAGCTGGAAGGAGCGGGAATGAGGGGGGGGACCAGGCAGCCTGGGGAGGGGGACTTGCGGCGCAGGGCTAGCACCCCGATCTCCTTAACTCATGTGGGTTTGGGATGAGCAGCTCTTCCCGGCGGGAACCCGGTGTCCTGGAGCCCTGCCCGGAATGGGGGGACATCACCGGGAATTTCCCCACACCCCGCGCAGCCCCCCAGAGCCGGGGGAGCCCACGGAGCATCTTCCCAGCCCCACGCAGCCCCACTTCCCGCCCCCTCCGGTTCTGGGGGGCTGTCCCCTCCATCGCCCCGTGTCCCCCGTGTGCTCCCGTGTCCCCCGTGTGTTCCCG